AAAACGATGACACGAGAGTATAGCTCATTCCTACTAGGTTGAATATTTAACCCTCATTTGGATCGAATTTTCTAGCTTATTTATTAGGATCGAATATTTTAGCTTTATTTATTTACTTTTCTTATTTGTTTTATTTAGGTATTCTATTATCATAAGGATTCATATTTATGTTGGGAGTTTATTTAGAGTCCATATTTATTTTGGATTTGAACCACCACTAATGCTACTATTTGTTCTAAGGATATTTTTGATATTTTCTTGAACATAAAGCTAAATAAATAAGTTGCAATCAATTTAAAAATCTCGAAAAAGACTTGCAATTTGTCCAGATTGGATTAGTTGTATAACTATCTTAACTCAACAATTAGATTTCTCATCCTAATTTTTAATAAAAATTATGTATTCAAACTTAAAAGTTTTAAAATTACATAACGTATATGTTATAAATTAAATTGCAATCTTAACAATATACAAAGCTAAAACGGAGACTTACATCCATTGATGATGTAAAATATTTATAGAGTGGTGTTTTAGACATAACAACTCCTCAAGAATTTAACTTACGATCACAAGTTGTGGATACGGAATTAGAATCAAGAACCAAACTACCATCTTACAAACTATGAGCTTACGAATTACTATATTTTTTAATACAACTTACAAATTACTATCTACGAGGTATTACTTAGCAAGTTTCAAATATATTAAACCTTACGAGAGTACTTTTGTAAGTCTGTTTGTAAATACAAGTTGAGTTTATTTGTATATCATTGTATATGTTTTTTTTATGGCAACCTCGTATTTATAGATTTTTTGTTCGTCCGCAATCCTTGCATTAGACCATATTCTTCTGTTTTTGTTTTTCATAAACCTTTGCAATCCTTCATGTTTTCTTGCAACTTCCCACTTTATTTTTCAATGTTTCACGTTTTTTTAATAACTCGTCAAGATCATATCTTATCAGCATAAACTCTCAATAAACTCTTCAATAATCACATGTTAACATGTTTCTTATTTGTCATGATTGCTATCTCTTATTTTTATCGCTGTTCAAGAATCCATGCTCCATGATTTTCTCACAAAAGTTGTCTGGTTTCGTTGTTGCAATCCTTTTCGACTTGTTGAATATGAGCATCTTGAATTAGAGACTCTTGCCTTTCGAATGTATACAAGGTGTAGGTTGTGTTATGGGCCTAATAGCTTGATTATTTTTCCTTTTAAATTTGTTGGGCTTGTCCACTCCAATCAAATTTAGATATAACAATGATGATTTTGTATTTTCTAACTACGTCTTTTATAATCATTAAAACCTTAGTGTCCGACCATCAAGACAATAAAATAATGATATTAACATTTAGAATTGGAAGAGATCGAAGAAAAAAGTTCGGGGTGGATAAATTTTATTGAAAAAAAATAATTAGAAATAATTTAGGAAAGATGATAAAAAGTAAATTAGGAAGATATATATTATAGAGATAAAGAAATTGTAGACAATAATTATGAGCAAAGGCAATCCAATAATTTTTTTAAAATTCATTGCGGTCTTTATAATTTAGTAATGGTATCATATTTAGTATAATTTGATCTAAAAAGTAATTTAGTAGTGGAATAAAAATTAAACATGTTTTGAAATTTGTTTAATTAAAAAAATAATAGATTTAATTTCGGTTGATATGAAAACTATCGACCTACAAATTACTTGTCCGCTTGACTACAATATATAAATTACTATCTACAAGGTATAACTTAACAAGCTTCAAACGTATTAAACCCTTAAAAGAGTACTCTATGGGCTATTTGTAAATTACAAGTTGAGTTTGTTTATATGTCATATTATGTGTTGTTTTTTATAGCAGACTTGTATTTATAGATTTTTTGTTCGTCCGTGACCCCTGCATTAGATCACATTCTTCTATGCTTTTTTTCCATAGACCTTTGCAATTCTTCATGTTCCGTTGCAACTTGCCACTCTATGTTTCAACGTTTCACGTTCTTTTATAATTATCAAGATTGTGTCCTATAAGCATAAATTCTTGATAAATTTTTCATTACTCATATGTTAACATGTTTCTTGCTTGCCATGATTGTTATCTCTTATTTCTATCTTTGTTCAAGAATCCATACTCTATGATTTTCTCACCAAAAGCTATTAGTTTCGTCTGTTGTAATCCTTTTTAGTTTGTTGGATATGAGCGTCTTGAATTAGAGGCTCTTACCCTTTGAATGTATCTTAGGCATAGGTTGTGTTATGGGCGTAAAATCTTTATTATTTTCTCTTTTTAATCTGTTGGATTTGCCCACTCCAATCAAATTTGGATATAACGAGTGACAAATTTATATTTTCGAACTACATCTTTTGTAATCACTAAAATGACATAGTGTGACCATCAAAATGATAAACGAGTGATATTAACATTTAGAATTGGAAGAGGTTGAAGATAAAAGTTTAAGGTGGATAATATTGAAAAAAAGGGAACTAGAATTTAGGCAAGACGATAAAAGTAAATTGGGAAGATGTATAAGATGATAATTATGAGTAAAGGCAACTCAAGCAAAGACAATTCAGTAATTTTTTTTTTAAATTCGTTGTAGTCTTTATAATTTAGTAATGATATCATATTTAATCTAATTTGATTAAAAAGTAATTTAGTAGTCGAACAAAAATAAAACATGTTTTGACGCCGACTTAATTAAAAAAATGATAGATTTAGTTTCGATTGATATAAAAATTGATACAACAATACCTCATTAATATTTATTCATTAATATATACATTCGTAACTGAATCTCTTCTCATTGCTAACATATATTTTCTCCAACAATGATGGTGCTTCAATCCTAATTTTTTTTTCTTTCCAAATGCTATTATTTTTGTTCACGATTGAATTCTTTCTTATGAATTTTTTATGTGGAAAAAATGATTATATAATTTTTGTCTCAAAACCTGAATATTATTATTTTTTATCATGAGAAAACCATGTCAAACGATTTCTTTTTTGTCTAAAAAATTGAAATAACTTCGATATATGCACACTCAAACTTGTCAATATTGTAGTATTATTTTCAGTAGGCTAGGATCGTTGGTTTTTAAATTTTTTTTTTTAGAAAAAAAAAATTGGAACCGAGTTTGGCTTTAGATTATTCTCAACCAAAGTTTTACATCCCCAAGACTCAAAAATACTAATTTAAACAAACATATTTAATTTGACATCTACTTCTTGAATTTAGTTAATTTTCCCCAAACACGCATGTATCGATGTTTGATATTGTCTTCTCGTTTGGTCGACCAACTTTACATTAATCTATCATTACAATGCCATGAATTTTACTATCATATTGTTTGGTTTGTAAATTTTTCCAAGGATGTTTCCGCCTCGTCATGATCCTGTCTGAAAGAGTTAAAAAAAAAAAAAAAAAAGCACAAAGACACAGGCAATAATTTAGTCTCCAGCCAGCGCAAATCTACTCTTCAAAAAACGATGTCGTTTTTTGTTTTGACTACAGGTCCCCCTTTTACCTATTTTTCGCAAGGTCCTGTCACAGTCACTGATTTCACCATCGGTAATTGTCTCTTCTTCTCTGCGCGCTGCCACTCACGTGACCCGGATGACCGTTCAACAAAGCAATAATGTAATTCTCGTGTGCTCTTTACTATGCCTGCTTTTAAAACAACCTACTTAATTATTCCGGTAATAAATTAATTACTTCCAAATACTTATTGTCCCTCAGATTATTATTGAAATGTCCTCGAGATCCTTGCCAAATTTCACAGCCAGATGATGAAGAATTTGAGACCAATATTGAAATTGGCCATCTTTGCCACTCTCCTTTGTCTTTGATTTGGTAAACTTTGATTTTCGATAATAAATAATCTTTCCATTTTTTTCTTCCAAAATTTTTCTGTGGGTGAAGAGCTTCCAACAGTTAGCAATGTGGTAACTAGATAGGGCTGTCTTTAATCCCGTACACCATTCTAAGTACAAACATATTCCTTACAAGATCTACCAGCTATGGTTTTCTTTCTTTATTTAGTTCGATTTTTTGGCATGTGACCTAATACGTAGGATTTGGTTCTCTTGAACTATTCTAACCATCCAACTAAAGTTAGTAGTATCGTGAGGAAAATTGGGGACCAGGTTGAAATGATTTTAGCATATCAACAATTTATTGATTCACCAGTAAATGAGTTAGTCTGTAAGTAAATTTTTTCATCGATTTATAGGATTATAATTCTAAAATTACATTAGTCTGTAAGTAAATTTTTTCATCGATTTATAGGATTATAATTCTAAAATTACATTAATTGAAAGAGATTAAACCTTATGGCTCTTGTTTTAAAAAAAATTAATTCTACTTTTAATATAAAATGAAACACTTAATCAACTAGTAATGCCTGGAACATACATTAAACAAAATTTATGTGCCTTACAGTCCACATTCTTCTGTTTTAATCACATTTAATGTACGTGTTATTATTTTTTTTCAATGGGTGTAGTCTTTTTCATTCACCAAACTTCAATGACCTCATTTCAAAATTTTAACTTAGCAATTAACTAATTGTTTGTTAACAACTGCAACTAATTTAGTTTGAAGTTGTTTAAAAAAAAGAAAAGAAAACATAAATTTTGGTATAGATAAATGCAAGTCAAGCATAGATTTTCTTAGCAAAATCATTAGAAACGAATGATTCACATTCAAATACTCATGCAAAAATTGTCTTATAAAGGCCATCATTCACGTTCAGCAATGTCTTGAAAATACACAACAGCACACTAGAGTGCCAGAGCAGCTCACCCTACTATAATACGCCCATTCCCATGCTATCAATCCCCATTCCCTCTCTCTTCCTCTCCTTTTCAAGTTCCAACCCACTCTTATATCTCACGCCAAACGCACGCTCATCTCTTCAACTCCTCCCTTCTCTTACCTTGCTCTTTCTGCCACCCCAAAACCAACTGCAACTCCACCACCACCTACACAGGCCACAAGAAGCAAACACCATGCTTCTCTTCCTTTTCGCTTCCCTCCTCTTCTTTCCTTCACCTTCCCTTTCTCTAAACCAAGAAGGCCTTTACCTCCAACAAATCAAGCTCTCTCTTTCAGACCCAGACTCGGTTCTCTCTTCATGGTCCGACAGAGATACCACTCCATGTTCATGGTTCGGTATCGAATGTGACCCAGCAACAAACTCTGTCACTTCCATAGACTTGTCCAACACTAACATAGCTGGCCCTTTCCCTTCCCTCCTCTGCCGTCTCCAAAACCTTACTTCCCTGTCCTTCTTCAACAACTACATCAACTCCACTCTCCCTGCAGATATCTCCACGTGTCAAAATCTCCAGCACCTTGATCTTTCTCAAAATCTACTCACAGGCACTCTCCCTCACACCTTAGCTGGCCTTCCTAACCTCAGATACCTTGACCTTACCGGAAACAATTTCTCAGGAAACATTCCCGATACTTTCGCACATTTTCAGAAACTCGAGGTTATTTCTCTCGTTTTTAATCTCTTCGACGGTATTATACCGCCTTTTTTAGGCAACATTAGTACTCTCAGAATGCTCAATTTATCGTACAACCCTTTCACGCCGGGTCGGATCCCTCCCGAATTTGGTAACTTGGCAAACCTGGAAATTTTGTGGCTCACTGAGTGTAATTTAATTGGCGAAATCCCCGACTCACTGGGTCGACTCAAGAAACTCATCGATTTGGACCTTGCAATCAACAATCTTGCCGGTTCCATACCGAGTTCACTCACTGAACTGACCAGCATAGTCCAAATCGAGCTCTACAACAACACATTGACGGGTGAACTGCCTCGGGGGATGGGAAAGCTTACTGAGTTAAAGAGACTCGACGCGTCAATGAACCAATTGTCTGGGTCGATTCCAGACGAGTTGTGTCGGTTGCCGCTAGAGAGTCTCAATCTCTACGAGAATGGCTTTACAGGAACTTTGCCTCCAGCCATAGCTGACTCACCGAACTTATACGAACTCAGGCTGTTTCGAAACGGGCTCACTGGCGAGTTGCCTCAAACTCTCGGCAAAAACGCGCCATTAAGATGGCTAGACGTGTCGAACAATCACTTTTCCGGCCAAATCCCGGCAAGTTTATGTGAAAGTGGCGAGTTAGAGGAGATTTTGATGATACACAACTCGTTTTCAGGTCAAATACCGGAAAGTTTGAGTCAATGCCAGAGTTTGACCCGAGTCCGGTTGGGCTATAACCGGTTATCCGGCGAAGTGCCAACTGGGTTTTGGGGGTTGCCTCATGTTTCGTTGTTTGATCTTGTTAGTAATTCGTTTTCGGGTTCGATTTCGAAAACAATTGCTAGCGCTGCAAACTTGTCTATGTTGATTATTGATAGGAATAACTTTGTTGGGAACTTACCGGAGGAAATTGGTTTTCTAGTGAACCTAGCTGAGTTTTCGGGTAGTGAAAATAGGTTCAGTGGATCATTGCCCGGAAGTATAGTGAATTTGAAAGAGCTTGGAAGTCTGGATCTTCATGGGAATGCTCTTTCGGGTGAGCTACCCGATGGGGTTAATTCGTGGAAGAAAATGAATGAGCTAAATTTGGCTAATAATGCTCTTTCCGGTAAGATTCCGAATGGAATTGGAGGAATGTCCGTGCTTAATTATCTTGATTTGTCAAATAATAGGTTTTCGGGGAAAATTCCAATTGGTTTGCAGAATTTGAAGTTAAATCAGCTTAATTTATCGAATAATAGGTTGTCAGGAGGGATTCCACCCTTGTTTGCGAAGGAGATGTACAAGAGTAGTTTTATTGGGAATCCTGGTTTGTGTGGTGATATCGAGGGTTTGTGTGATGGGAGGGGTGGCGGGAGAGGTAGAGGTTATGCTTGGTTGATGAGGTCTATTTTCGTACTTTCTGTGTTAGTTCTTATTGTTGGCGTGGTTGGGTTTATTTTGAAGTATAGGAATTTCAAGAAAGCAAGAACTGTTGATAAGTCGAAATGGACATTGATGTCGTTTCACAAACTGGGCTTTAGTGAATATGAGATCTTGGATTGTCTTGATGAGGATAATGTCATAGGGAGTGGATCATCGGGGAAAGTTTACAAGGTCGTGCTTAGTAACGGCGAGGCCGTCGCAGTGAAGAAGCTCTGGGGAGGAGTGAAAAAGCAGAGCGATGATGTTGATGTTGAGAAAGGCCAGGTGATTCAAGATGATGGTTTTGATGCAGAGGTTGCTACTCTGGGTAAGATTAGACACAAGAACATCGTTAAGCTATGGTGTTGCTGTACTACTAGAGACTGCAAGCTTTTAGTGTATGAGTATATGCCAAATGGTAGCTTGGGCGACTTGTTGCATAGCAGTAAGGGAGGTTTGTTGGATTGGCTGACAAGGTACAAGATTGTTGTTGATGCAGCTGAGGGACTTTCTTATTTGCACCATGATTGTGTTCCTCCGATTGTGCATAGAGATGTGAAATCCAACAATATATTACTGGATGGTGACTTTGGAGCTCGGGTTGCTGATTTTGGTGTAGCCAAGGTGGTCGATTCGACCGGAAAGCCTAAATCCATGTCCGTCATTGCAGGGTCCTGTGGTTACATTGCTCCAGGTTAGTGTTCAACCTTCTTCCCACTAGTTTTGGTCCTTCAGGATTTGATGTGTGAAAATTATCTGTACTGAGATTTTTCTTATGTTTCTAGTACAGCAATTATTTTAGGATTCGATTGCCAATTCATAAATACTAGCATTCTCATAATTTATGAGCCCTCGTGTAAACTTTAGTTGAAAAGTTAGATTAGCATTTTAGTAGATTCTCATATCAGTTACTTGAGTAGCTCCTGGCGAAAATATTTACAATGAATTTGGCTAGCTGATGAACTAAAAGTAAATTCTTTGGATACACTTGATGCAGAATATGCGTACACCCTGCGAGTGAACGAGAAGAGTGACATCTACAGCTTTGGTGTGGTTATTCTCGAGTTGGTAACCGGTAAACGCCCAGTTGATCCAGAGTACGGGGAAAAGGACTTGGTCAAGTGGGTATGCACCACTTTAGATCAGAAAGGAGTGGACCATGTTATTGACCCAAAACTTGATTCTTGTTTCAAGGAAGCGATATGCAAAGTCCTCAACATTGGCATCCTCTGCACCAGTCCCCTTCCCATTAACCGCCCATCTATGAGAAGGGTGGTGAAAACGCTGCAAGAAATTGGGGCAGATAATCTGTCCAAGACTGCTAAAAAAGATGGCAAGTTGACGCCTTATTACTATGAAGATGCCTCACATCCTGGGAGTGTAGCTTGAGTAAACAATCAAATTTTTGCTGGCAACATGGATATGGAAGGAGTACGTAATTATAAGCTCCAGTTTTCTTGTTTCTTGGGCTAACTTTCCATTTTTTACGTCCACTTTGGTGTTGATCTCCTTGCAAAAAGGAGGAGGAAAGATAGTGTGCTCAACTTGAAATGTTAATTTATGGAGAGAGGAGGAGAAAAGTAAAAGTAAAGTGTGTCAAGGTAATCAAGGTGTTGGTAAAATGGTATTGTACACTGTAAAAAAGTATTTGAATGTAATGAAAATTTCCTTCTACAAAATCCCATTGCCTGCTTTCATCCAAATTCATTTGCTGATTGTGATGCTCACACTATTTACTAATTACTGATTTCTATTTGATTTGGTAAATTCTACCTTTTCATATGTTACATGGAAAGACACCAATGATAGGTAGGGGTCGGGGGTGAGAATCTTGCAAAATTTGTATCTTTCCCCTTGTGCCATTGATAACCAAGTTAAATGCTAGGAGTAGGACCCCCCTTAAGCTTTTGGAAGTTTATTACTGGTTTTGGCCTGGCATCTGAGGATCTAAGATTATCCATGGAGAGGGGGTGGCGGTGGCTATAAATCAGCAACTTTAGTTTGCAGGTAGGGTTGGCCGTTCATGGACCATTCCTATTTAAGAGAGAGGGCTTCGTGCTGGCTGCTTTTGGTGTCTTTTGTTGCAGCTGCATTCACTTGATCCTATTCTGTACGTTACTGCCATATCGGAGAATGACTGAAAACATAGCCGATAATTATGTAGAGTGGCCTTGAAAACTGTTGAATGGTATTGTGATTATAAATTTCTTAAAATGACTGAAAGTAAGCAAAGTTCAATGGTATATGGAGCAAATGCCCAAAAGATGATTCAAAATCAACGGACACTAGAATCTAAAAGTATTCCTTAAAAATATACTTGCATCTCTGCATTTGTAATTAAGAGAGAGAGACAAATAATGATTAATAGGGAATAGTCCCAAGGAGGCCTTGGTTCATCTGTTGAAAATGATTGTTGTGGCTTGTGATGAATAGTCGAAAAATTGATGGGAGCTTTTTGATCTCTGACATTAAGAATCAACTTCGCTTTCTCAACAAAAAACGACATTCAATTATCATCATCCATCCCCACTCGGGCCACGCCACCTAAAGTGATATGCCACCTGGTTTCAATGTTCTTCAGCTGATCTGATAGTATGAATGTGTTAGCTTAAATGAATGAATATCATGCGCAAAACTGATGTGAAAATACATTTTTAAAATCACGAATGGAAAAAATTTGATTTCGATTTGACGCATGATCTATGAATATACAATTTAATAAAAACAAAGATGACGATGTCATACCGGTTAAATTGTTAGGCCCAATAGCAAATTCAAGAAAAGAGTACGGCCCGAGATTAATCAACAATGGTTTTGTGCATGAGCTACAATTTATGTTTTGGGTATTGCAACGACTTAGGCCTGATCCAAACATTTGACATTTTGAGTTTCCATGTTGAATCAGCCATGGGCCTGTACAGGCCCGTAAAGTATTTCTTTAATTTCCACGTAGCTATGAGAATAGTCGTGAAATAGTTCTTTAAATTAAAATTTTAATACTATTGTTAAATGTTTTTTCTATACAGATGCATAATATTCAAACGTTAAAATTGACCAATCAACGAGTATTGAGTCTCCATTACATGAACAATAAAACAAAATGAGTTTTATAATATTTTTATAAGCATATTGATTTTTTTTTATTTAAAAAAATCACATCCATCATTCTTTGACTTCATGTCTCTACAAGTACAGAAAGTAAATTGGGTTAATTGATTCATTTAATCTTATATACTAAGTGTATTCTTCTGTATATCATTTCAAGAAGCTTTTACTCTCATATGATATTATATTTTCATATTATTCATGTATCCTTTTGTTAAATTTTAGGGGGGAATGTACCTAAAATTATATATATATATATATAAAATTTAAAACTAAAAAAAAAAAAAAACTCTAAAAGCCATGAAAAAATTCCAGAAAAAAGGAACCATTTAAAAAAACTAGAAAAAAAATGGAAAACCCAAGAAAAATAAAAAATAATTTTGATGGATATATATAAATATCCGTAAAGCTTCATAAATATAAATATGTCTACGGTAATGAAATAAGTTTTTCCAAGATATGGGTTTTTCAAAATTTTAATTAGTTATATATATATATATATATTTTATGGATTATTTTAATTTTTTTTTTATATTTCAAGTATTAGAGAACATATCTCACATTGAATAGATAAATAAAAAATGAGTAAGATATAAAGTTGAAAAAGAATCACCCGCCATAAAATTTTATTATTATTATTTTTTTTGGAATCCAATCTCAACTATCTAACTTTATATGATTTAGATCTTTGATGACTAAACGATTGAAGGTTCGAATTTTACTATCTTTACTTTCTCTTCTAATTTAGCACATGATATATAAGCCTCGTGCGGAATTTAAGCATGAAAAGTTTTTACTTAATAAAGTGTGTTAGAAAGTCATATAAAACCATTTATGAGACCTTACCTCATGGTTTAAACTTTTGAGTTGTGATAGTTTTTAACATGGTATCAAAACTATAGTGACCAAAAGGTGAGCGAGTTCAAATTTTACCACTATCATTTTCTCTTTTAATTAAGCACAAAGTAATCAAAATTTTAATTAGTTATATATATATATATATATATATATATATATATATATATATATATATATATATATATATTTATGGATTATTTTAATTTGTTTTTGATATTTCAAGTATTAGAGAACATATCACACATAGAATATATGAATAAAAAATGAGTAAAATATAAAGTTGAAAAAGAATCACCCACCATAAAATTTTAGTTTTTTTTTAAAGGAATCTAATCTCAACTATCTAACTTTATATGGTATCGGATCTTTAATGACTAAACAATTGAGTGTTCGCATTTCACTATCTTTACTTTCTCTTCTAATTTAGCACATGATATATAAGCATGTGCAAATTTTAAGCTTGAAAAGTTTTTAATTAATAAAGTGTGTTAGAAAGTCTTATAAAATTGTTTACGAGACCTTCCCCCACAGTTTAAACTTTTGAGTTGAGATAGTTTTTAACATGGTATCAAAACTATAGTGACCAAAAGGTGAGCGAGTTCAAATTTTACCACTATCATTTTCTCTTTTAATTAAGCACAAAGTGATGGTGGATTGATGCAAGTTTCCATCTCAAATGACTTTCACTTAAGAAAATGTATTAGAGAATAATATAAATCATATTTTGGAGTCTCACTTAAAAACTTAATTTTTTTGGATTGAGATAGTTTTTTGACATAGTATCGGAATCTCAAAGAGGTCTAATGATTTAATGATCTAGTAAAGATCCTAATGCCCAATATTGTATTAGAGCCTCAAAGAGGCTCAATGACCTAACAAAGATTCTAGAGTCCAAAACCCACTTGACAGAGCCTCTAATAGTCCAACAAAGATCCTAGAGTCCAATATGATATCAAAGCCTCAAAGAGACTCAATGGGTCCAACAAAGATTCTAGAACTCAAACCACTTGATATATCCAAAAAAAAAAAAAAAAAAATTACAAGTGAATAAAAGTGTTAGAGAATATATTCTATATTAAATAGATAAACAAAATATGGGTAAGATATAAAGTTGAAAAAGAATTATCTACCATAAGGCTTAAATCTTTTAGATGAAATCCAACTTCGACTATCTAATTCTATACCAAGTTTTTATGTTTTTATATTTTTCATTTTTTCCCAATTTTATGGGGTTTTCACGTTTTGAAACTAATTTTTATTTTTTTATGTTTAATTTTTTTTTAATGTTCTAAGGGGTACTTTGGTCCAAAGTGGCAAAAGAGCATAAGGGCCAAAATATAAATACACAAGAACATATGAAAGTGAAAATATTTTTAAACAACATAGGAAAAAAAATGCTTTCAATGTATAGAGATACATGGGTACGTTATCCCAATCTCTATTACGAAATACTTACATAATTTGCTTATAGGCTATAAATTAAAATAATTGCACATAATAAATTTATACTGAACTAATAAATAATTCAACTGAAAATAAACTTAAAATAATTACTTATATTGAAAATATAAGTTCCATGTTTATTTTCTTTTTGTTAACTTGGATATTTAAGGGTTTGCGATGATTTTCTTTCTTTCTTTTATCATTTTTTTTTATGAATAATAATCTTGAGATAGCTTTATAGTCATTGTAAATCAAATAGAATGCACAATGCATTGATTAGTTCATCGTCAAATGTTTCATTCCCCAACACATCATAGAACTCCAATCAAAAAGCAAAATGTAGCATAACGCACACAAAAAGAGAGTCATATTGGCCCTAAAATGTCCATGGTTGAACTGGTGTCACACTTGCTGCCTCTCCCGTCTATCATCAATTTGCAATGTCTTTGGATATCTACTGCTGCCGCCATCGAGGTTCTATTCACCCACAATGTAGTTGTTCTTTTGTGCTGTAAAAATGTTTATCTCAAAAATCTTATTATCATATAAGTTACACTACAATAAAACACAGATTTAGCCATCATTTTTTAGTGACGGTACCGTAGCTAATTTTGTTTCAAGTGTTATTTTTTAGCGATGTTTTTAAAACATGGTAGCTTCGAACTAAGTTTGGAGTTTTTAGCAACGGTTTTTATTAAACCATTGCTAAAAAATCATTTTTTGGGATTTATCAACGGTTTAAGAAGACTCGTTGCAAAATCCTCCTAAAATTGGTTTTTTGCGATGGCCTAACCAAACTGTCGTTGATTTTACCCATATTTTTGAGGTTTTGTGTGACAATCTATGTAGACCGTTGCTAAATTCCCTCATAAACTCGGGAGGTTTGTTCCGACGAACTGCGAAGACCATCACTAAATTCACTTTTAAATCAAGAAAGTTTTTAGAGATGATTTTTTAAAAGCCGTCGTTAATTTGTTAATGTT